ATCGAGCCCGAGCAGGTCAGGAAAAACACTCGAAGGGATGAACAAATTACCGTGAAAATGGATAAATTCGGGCCCGGAGAAACTCCGAGGTGATGAAGATGCTCAAAGTACTGACAAAGTGGGTGGAGTTGGTGAGAAAAAGATAGAGGCCAACGAAAAGAAGGTGTAAAGTTACAATTCCAGGGTTGATCAGATCCCGAGAGCTCCCCCAATATTGAAGGGATCCGATTCCAAAAACTTCATTCAAAAGCCTTTCCCGCCGAGCGTGGCACCGAAGCCAATCCCAAAAAGACTCTGAATGCCCGACATTCCCTAGTATAATAGGACTACAGATCCAAACGAGCATGTAACCACCTATACATGCGCAATCAAGGGGAATGACTTGGAAGACGACGACATCGAATCAATGTTGTTGAAGAAATTTGGGTAAACTTTGTCCAAAGAGCAATAATATGGTATCACAACTTGCCTCCGAATTCTATTAATTCATTTGCTATGCTTGCAGATGCTTTCGTAAAGGCCCATGTCGACACAATCAAGGTCGAGACAAGGAAATCAGACCTTTTTAAAGTCAATCAAAGAGACAACGAGATGCTTAGGGAGTTCGTGTCGAGGTTCCAAATGGAGAGAATAGACCTACCCCCGGTCGCGGATGATTGGGTCATTCAAGAGTTTACTCAAGGGCTCAACCCCCGAAGTTTCTTTGCTTCTCAATAATTGAAGCAAAACTTGGTGGAGTACCCGGCGATCACTTAGGCCAACATCCATAACAGATATCAGTCGAAGATCAGAGTTGAGGATGACCAGCCAGGGACCCCCTCAGGGTCTATTTCCCCAAGAAAGCAATTGACATATCTAAGAGGATTATCGACCAAGACCTAATGACGGTCCGAGATCGGTATCAGCCATACGGCTCGGACAGAAGGGAAACGGATCCGGTCACCACCCAACTAGGAACGATAGGAGAAATGAACAAGGACCGAGCAACAGAGGTCTGATGAGTAAAAAATAGTTTTGACAGGTCGCTCGAGCATAGAGAAGCACCGAGATTATCGGAGTACAATTTCAATGTGGATCCTGCAAGTTTAGTGTCGACCATAGGTCGCATCAAAGAGATCAAGTGGCCTAGGCCACTTTAGTCCCTAGAGGGATCATAGCTTGGTGTGTAAGTACCACGGTACTCACGGTCATAGGATCAAAGATTGTCAATTGCTGAGGGAAGAAGTAGCTCGATTATTCAACAATTGGCATCTTCAAGAATTCCCATGTGAACGGACCAAAAATCATTTAAAAAATAGGGACGTGAACAAACATGTCGAACAAGAGAAGCTCCAACACATGATCAACATGATCATTGGGGAAGTGGATGTCGCCCAAAGGCCAATGATAAAATGCACCAAAGTTTCTATCATAAGGAAAAAACGCAACCGAGATAAAGATGCCTGGGGCATCATCCAGCCTCATAATGATGCACTGGTAATATCCGTGTTAATCAATAAATCTCGAGTTAAACGTGTGTTGATTGATCCAGGTAGCTCGGCCAATATCATTCGATGGAGGGTCGTAGAATAACTAGGATTGTTCGACCAAATCATACCAAAGGTCGGGGTGCTGAGCAGATTTAACATGGCATGCGAGATGACGAAGGGTGAAATAGCTTTGCGGATAAACACTTCCGGGACCACCCAGGAAACAAAGTTCTACGTAATTGAGGGGATATGAGGTGCAACGCCTTGTTCGGAAGGCTATGGGTTTCACAGAATGAGGGTGATGCCTTCAACCTTACATCAGGCATTGAAATGTTCCACTCCGGGAGGAGTCAAAACAGTCTATGGGGAACAGTCGGCCACGAAGGAGATATACGCTACCGATGAAGTAATCCTGGTGCCCATGATTTTGACATCAAAAAGGAGAGACTGGCCAAAGAAAAAGAAACCAAATAGCAATCAATGATCCCGACCTTGACCGGGCCGAAAAAATAAATAAGAAGAGCACATAGCAGACGCGAAGAATGATTACAGTGTCTCGAGATATTTTATAGCACCCGATGACACCGATGACACTAAATTGATAATTGAGGAATTTAAGCAGGTTATACTGATCGAGCACCTACCGGATCGAAAGGTATACCTGGGCATGTGACTAACTCCCCAGTTTAGGAAAAAACTTATCGATTTTCTTAAACCTAATTATGATTGTTTCGCCTAGTCCCACTTAGATATTATCGGGATCCCACTGAAGGTGAAAACTCAAAAATTGAGCCTCGATCCAAAGTCTCATGCGATCAAACAAAAGAAAAAATGTTGCAGTACGAGATCAAACAAACGTTCATCAAAGGCGAGGTATCTAAACTTTTGAAAATAGGTTCCATCCGGGAAGTTAAGTGCCCGTATTGGTTAGATAACGTATAAGTTGTACCTAAAAAAGAAACAAACTTAGAATATATGTAGATTATAAGGATCTAAACAAGGCGTGTTCGAAGGATTCATTCCCTTTTCCTAACATCGATTGAAAGATCGATACAACAGCCGGGCACGAGATATTGAGTTTTCTCGATTCCTATTCCGTGTACAACAAAATTCATATGGATCTGGGAGATCAAGAAAAAACTTCTTTCGTAACCAAATTCGGCACCTAGTTTATAATATGATGTCGTTTGGGCTAAAGAACACCGATGCCACGTATCAATGCCTAGTTAATCGAATTTTCGAAAAACAAATAAGGAAATAAATGGAGGTTTATATTGACAATATGTTGGTTAAATCCATGTAAGCATAGGACCATTTGAAGCATTTGCAGGAAACCTTCGACATATTAACAAAATACAACTTGAATCTAAACCTAGAGAAGTACTCTTTCGGGGTCATCTCACGCAAGTTCCTCGTGTTTATGGTATCCAACCGGGGAATATAGATCAACCCGGACAAAATAAAGCTATAGAAGATATTACTGTAGTTGAAAACGTTAAGCCAGTACACAGACTGACCGGGCAGATAGCTACGTTTGGCCGGTTTATTTCGAGGTAGTTAGACAAGAGCCATCAGTTTTTCTCATTGTTAAAAAAGAAGAACGACTTCTCCTAGACCCCGAAGTGCCAGTGAGCTTTAAAAGAACTCCAGCAATACCTATCGAGCCCTCCCTTGTTGCACACTCCCAAGGTAGAAGAACAGTTATACCTCTAGTTGGTAGTTTCTGAGGTGACAGTAAGTGGTGTCCTGGTTCGGGAAGAGGAATGTATGTAATTTCCTATTTATTATGTTAGTAGAACCCTAGGCGATGCCGAAATAAGGTATCCACACTTAGAAACATTAACGCTCGCCTTATTAAGCGCATCTAGGAAATTAAAACTGTACTTTCAGTGTCACCCCATATGTTACATGACCTCGCACCTACTGAGGAATGTTATGCACAAAATCGAGCTATCGGGTCGGTTGGCCAACTTGGCCATAAAAATTAGCAGGTACAATAACGAGTACAAACCCTAGACCACTATAAAGTCTCAGATTTTGGCGGACTGCCGACTTTATGCCGACCTTGATCCCCGGGGTTGAGAAGGAATTACTGCTCACCTCGGGGACTAGCTCGGGGATCTGGACCCTATTTACAGTCGGTGCTTCCAATGCAAAGGGGTTCGAGCTGGGCATCGTACTAAAACTACCTGCGGGTAACATTATAAGGCAGTCTATCAGAACTATAAAATTGACTAACAATGAAGCCGAATATGAGGCTATGATTGCAGGTCTAGAACTGGCTAAGAGCCCGGGGGCCGACGTGATTAAGGCTAAATGTGACTCCCTCATTGTCATCAACCAAGTCAATGGGACGTTTGAAGTAAAAGAGGAACGGATGTGGAGATACTTGGATATATTGTAAGTGACATTACACAAATTCAAGGATTGGACTCTACAACACATACCTCGAGATCAAAATAACGAGGCCGGTGTCGTTAGTCGACTCCGATGAATTTGACACCAGAACAGTGGTACAATTGATGAACTAGGTGGTCGAAGGTCATGCCGAGGTGATCTCGACAAGCTTGACTTGGGACTGGAGGGACAAATACATAAACTATCTTGAGAAAGGGAAATTTCCATTAGATCCGAAAGAATCAAGGGCCCTACATAATAAAGCTTCCAGGTTCAGCTTGATCAAAGGAAAATCATACAGAATATCCTTTTTCGGGCCACTAGCTAGGTGCTCGGGTCCGGAGGAGATCGACTACGCCATGAGAGAAGTACATGAGAGTACTTGTGGGAACCATTCAGGAGTAGAATCCCTAGTTCAAAAATTGATCAGAGCCAATTATTACTGGAACGAGATGGAGAAGGATGCGGCAGACTTCGTTTGAAAATGCAACGAATGCCAAAGGCACGCCCCAATGATTTATCAACTAGGGTAAATGTAGATATGTAATTTTTGACCCGCACATTATAATTCCCTATAATAGTCCTAGTATTTTTAGAATATTACTTGAGCTTATTTTTATATGATTTTACTTTATTATTAATTTTAATTCTATTTTTAAAGGCACAAAAATTGAAAAAATACAAAAATAATTTTATTATTTAATTCAAGTATTAGGTATTTTCAAAAAGATGTATTACCTTTAACTTATTTTTATGTTTAATATAATATTTAAAAAATACAAAAAAATAGTTTCCACTTTGGCTTTTAGTTTTATTTTAATATAATATTTTATTAAAATCAATTAAGAGTTACTTTATATTTTATATATAGGTATTTTATATTACTTTAGAGTTAAATTAAATTTTCAGCTTTTCTTAGCCCAAATTAGTAGAATTTCAAAGCCCAATTTAAACTTAGGTCAAAAATTTAACAACCCAATACCCCTGACCCACGCCCCAAGCCCAAACCGGACCTGACCCGCCCCACTCCCCTCTAGATCTTAGCCGTTTATCTCTATTTGATCCAACGACCACAATTCCTCCCTACCTAAATTTATAAACCTAATATTAAAAAAACCCTAACCCTAACTCTATCTACCCAAACGGTGGCCCTCCCCCTCCTCCACTCTCCGCCGCTGCCACCACCCTAAACCCGCCGGAAATTTCCCAAATCATCACATGGTCCCCCTCCTCTCCTCTTGTTCTTCCACGTCACTCAAATTGTACAAATCTCGTCATTTCAAATCGATTCACGCGTTTTGCTTCCTTTATTTTCTTTGCCTGAACAAAAATCCGAATCCCTTAGATAAATGTTGGAAAATGGGAGTCGTTGGATTAAAATTTTGATCCAAGACTTCCATTTTATGATTTTTGTTTACAAAAGCGATTTTCGAGTCTTGTTGGTGACCACACATTTTCTTGGAGGGGAAGGCAGAACACTCGAGAGGCTATATATAGGTGAGAATATTTTCTAGTTGAGGGGAATTTTCGGATAGAGTGAGTTTTGGAGAAAAATTAGGGTTTGATTTTAGGGTTTTTGATTTTTGCTTTCTTCATCTTTTTCGATTGAGATTCCAGAAAAAAAAAGATAAAAAATTTTTTGAGTTCCTTTCTTGTACTTAATTCCATTTCGATACCAGAAAATATCAAAAAAGTTTAGTTTGTATTCTTCTCTGAATTTTTGTTGAAGAATGGAGTTCGATTGAGGAGTCGTTGAGTTTGTCGCTGCTCGAGGTGTCGATTTCCGGCTACTGTTACCTTTTCAGTTCGATTTCAGATTTGTTGCCTGATTTTCTCATTGTATATTCACGCCGAAGTTTAATCGAAAGTATTTTCAGGTTCATTTCTGATTGCATTTTGCTCTATCTTAGGTCTGTGATTAAATTTAGTAGAGTTTGAATTTGGAATCAGCATTTAGTCTCAATGTGTGTTTGAAAAATGATATTTGATATATCGTTCCTGTTGTATGGATTCTGCTCTCACTGTTTGATTGGTTTGAGCATGCTCGGTTAGTAATAGTTGATCCGAATGGTTTTTTTTCTATGCCTTGAATGCTTTTAACCGTTATTATGGTGTTGAAGTATTTCTTGAGTTAACATATTCTCAATTTGAAACAGATGGTCTATTAGGCTTCCGTCTGGTTCTTTGATTTTTTTTAGTACGAGTGACTTAGTGTTAACATACTTAGATCATAACCGAGCTGTTGGAGTCATATGCATGTTTGTCTATGCCTCAACTGGTTGACCTTCCTCTGAAAATAAATAATAACTTGTTCTTGTTTTCTTCTATTATTAGAATCTGATCATACGACCTTAAGGAACTGAGAACAGGAAGGGTAAGTTAAGGAACTGAAATGATCTGATTGAAAAGTTTAATAGGCTGTTAACAAGTCCATTCATGGCTTCGCTGAGTCTTTTATGACTTCCTTATGAATTCTGTCTCGGTTGGTTGTCGATGTATCTAGCTTGATGTGTTTGAAGTATTTCTTTGGTTCAAGTTATGATTGAAAGTTAGCTTTGCAAATGAGCATTATGTGGAATTAAAATGAGATGAAGAGATCTTTTTAGTTTAAATTAATCCTCCATGCAGTAGTAATGTTACTTCTAGTAGAATAGAAAGTGTTTTCAGTCCCAGGAGATTAAGGAGTTTATTGATGATGTTATGTCATTATCTTTATTGGCATTTCCTATTGTATTAAGCATGATCTTGGTAGAGGCTACGATAATATCATATTGACTCTATGAAGTTTGAGAATTAGGTGTTAGGCAGGTGGTCTTGTCCCTTGCACTTTGGTGAAAATTGCACAAGTCCTGTGAGTTTATGCCTTCAGCTCTCCTGTTTAGCGCTCCTATGTAATTAATTTTATCAGTTTATTGTAGTGTGCTGCCATATGAATCATCTTAGTACTTTGTTGGGGTAACTTGATAAATGATGGAGTAAAAAAGACGTGGATCGATTATTTCGTGTGATTAAATTATGAGCCTTTCGGGATGGGGGTGCAGCTAAGTTGAGGATTTAATAAGGACTCGGGGTGTTGAGAACTCTTTAATGGCTCTTCCGATGCTTCTGATTCATTTGACCGTTATTAGCTTTTTCACTTGTCCTTCATTTTGTCTCTTCAGTTGTTTTGAATGCTTTCTGCTTAGGTATTCTGTGTCGTTTTGTTGGATTCATGTTAATGCTTGCTTGATGATTTGGCCGGGGAGCTGGGATCTTAAAGAAAACAGAATTGAAATTTTGAGAACAATATGTTTGCTATTTTATTTTATTGTTCTAGTCGCTAGTAGCATGTTTTAGGCGGACCACATTTGGGTAGGCAATATTCACTACTAGAAATCAGATGATTTCTGTCCAAGAATTTCCGACCGAAGTCGGTCGGAAACAAGAGTATTTGGTCGCAAAAGTCAACAGAAGTGACTAACAGAAAAAAATAAACTTTCCGACCGATTTCGGTCGAAAAATTTGTCAAATATTTGGTTAAACTTGTATATAATAAAAAATAATTATTTATTAAAATATTTTTAAATTTCTGACCGAATTCGGTCGGAAACTGGTCAAATTTTTGGTCAACCTTGTATATAATGTAAAAAATAATTATTTATTAAAAAATTTCCAAATTGGCGACCGAATTCGGTTGGCAATTTTGAGTTTTTTTTGTTTTCTGCGCAAGTCAAAAAATCGAAATAATTATAACTCAGTATTTTCGATCGAATTCGGTCGGAAAGTGGTCAAATATTTGGTCAACCTTGTACATAATCTACAAAAATAATTATTTATTAAAATTAACCAACTGAAATAATTATAATTGAATATTTACGACCGAATTCGATCGAAAAAATGCTTATATACAAATTAAAATATAAATTTAATTATATTGTGTGTGTATATATAGACACACACACACTTTACTTTAAGTGGAAGTGTATCAATGGGATCCTTAAGCAACGTTAACAATTAGTGAATTAGTGGTATCCTTATTAACTAACGTTAGTGATTGATTAGCCGATACATTGATAATTATACACTAAATGAAAGTGTATTAATGATATTTGTGAGAAATGTTTGTGATTGTTTTTCTTTAGTTTGATAATTAAAGTAAGTGGAGTTTATTAGTGGTATCGTTAAGTAATATTAGTGGTAATTTAATTATCTTAAATTGACAACTAAAGTAAGTAAAACTATTTTAGCAATATCATTAATTAATATTAATAATTTATTAGGCAATTAATTGATAATTACATTAAATAAAAAAGTGTAATAGTTACAATTAACTTTTCTCAGCAAAAGCCCTAACTTTTTTTACTCCTCTTTCTTCGCCTCACTCACGCCTTTGTCTTTCTCTTTCACTTTTCTCTTTCTCTTTCTTAGCAAATCCCCCCTTGGAAGTGTATCTGGGCGCTTCATCCCGCTATAGCAGCAGCAACAAACCAGCTCTCTTGGTCTCCGATTAACACACCTACACCTAGAGCAACCATTACACAGCCTCTTTGATTAGGTAAGTTCTAAATTATTTCGAAATTGTTTATGCTGCATCCCTCTCTTTCTACTCTTTTGTTTGTATAAATAGACACTTGGATTTTGTATGTAAATTGATGTGGGGGTTATGTCCGATTGTTTTTTTTTTTTGTTTGTGAATTTGACAATCAAAATAGACTTTTTCTAATGGTGGCGTTCTGCCAAAAATTCATACAAATTTGTGCACAAATCGCTAGTGCGGAATAAGAAATTAGAGAATCGTGTACATATACTGTTTTCCTTACAATTCTATGAAGTTATTTCCTCTATATTTGTGCTTTTCTACTTGAGATACGTTTTGTGAGTTAATTCACATTCATGATTTATTTCCGGATGGCCCAAGATTGGACACATCCTTTCATTTTCCTGTATTTATCTATTTTCCCTCATTTCTTTGTAATGCTAATTACACTTGTGCAATGTAGGTGAACCGGGTTTGACTTGGAGCGAAACTTGTGAAGCAGCTTGGAGTTGGACCAACTTGTATAACTTTTCGTATTCGGGAATTTACCTTGGTAGAACGACTTGATAAGTGGAGGGTTCTGTAAGACTTGAAATAGGATTTTGCTGTTCTGCTATGTACTGTTATCTACTTCAGGTACCTTGTAAACATTGGAGTTTAAAGTGGTTTGTGCACAAATCTTGTTTGAGTTGGCGATTCTCTTTGTCAATTTTTTTTCTCAGAATGTGGCAGTAGGCATCTATATATGAGTTAGTATAATTAGTATTGTTAGTGTAAGATGGTCAAGCCAATTCCTATTATTATGTTTGCTATTTTCACAAACAGAACTGGTTCTTCACAAAGCATCTGCATAAAACAGACATATACAAAAATGAGGTCATGTGTCTGCTATACTAAAACAAGTATTTTCCTTCTTCAGTATCTACTTTTGTTGTCTTTCATTTATTTATTTGCTTTTGTTTAAGCTCTTTTGTATCTGAGATTTTCCCTACAGCAATAAACTAACACTAACAGATAGAAAATGCTTCTTAACTAACTATATACGCATGATAATGTGTGTTTTATTTGTTTGAATGTTCCCATGTCTTTATTGTTACAATTACTCCTATCTGATTCCTAAGTCATATATAGCACTTCACAGAATTCCATTATCAACTAGTAGTACCAAATATTACTAACTTTGTCTCTTAAAATTCTTGATGATAGCGCGCACTTAAGTAAATGGTTCGATCATGATTTACTTTTTTCTTTCTCTGTTCTGCTTGTATTTGCTTAATTGTGTCGTTCTCATACAAGTTGTGTTGCTTTCAAGTGTCAACTATCATTGTTTTGTTGAAAGACATGTACTATTCCAACCAAATAAAGTGTTTGTCTTCTCTTTAATTGTTTGTCTGCACCATTAATTTGAATTATGATCAATATAACATGTAATTTATTCGTTCTTTATGTAGATGGATTATCGTAGTTGGATATTTAATAGGAATTATCCTAATTGTCGGTTTTTGAGGGAGGAATTTATAGAAGGGATTGAGGAATTTATTACGCATGCAATGTCACTTGAACCGTTTCGGATTGGAGGGTTGATTAGGTGTCCTTGTGTGAAGTGCAAGTGTTTGCATTATTTTGGATAATTATTTATCAAAAAGAGATTGATGGTACTGATGCTGTATTTCATTATGTAGTTGGTCAAAGTAGTAGGTTGGTGGGGAATAATGTTCAACATCTGAGACACCATGAAATGGTTGCGGATGCTCTAGGGATGCACTTCGATTTTGAAACCAACGAAAGTGTTGAACATTCCTATAATAAGCTGGAGAGGATTTTTCCATGTGGTTTCTTCGATGTGATGGAATACCTTCCAATTCACCTTGTACACGAGGCGCGACTTGGAGGCCTGGTTCAATGCAGGTGGATGTATCCATTCGAGAGGTAATGATCAAACTTTGATTTATTCTTGTAATTTTCTTTAACGTTATCGTCTAATATGACAATGTGCAGGACTATCGGCAAGTGTAAACGATTTGTTAAACAGAGGAATAGGATTGAAGGATCCATATGCGAAGCCTATCTTGCAAAGGAAACTGCCCATTTTTGTTCTTACTACTTTGACAGTCATGTGCCATGTGCTAGAAATAGGCCCAATCGACACAATGTGGATTGAGATTGATCCATTATATCCACCAATGTCCATATTCAATCAACCAAGCCGAAGTTCTAAAGATCGAGCACAAAGGGGCCTAACTAGTATGGAGTACAAATCAGCTTCAAATCATGTGTTGCTAAATTGTCCGGAAGTTCAACCCTTTCTTAAGTAAGTGTTGACGTAAGATTAATTTATATGGGCTACTATTTAATTTGGTTGATGCAACTAACAAGTAATTTTCAACGTGTTGCTTAGTGACTTTGTGAGTCAATTTGGTTATGGTGCTGTATATTCTACATTTGAGGCATGGTTTAAAAAGTGTGTAAGTGCATCTTACATACTTTCTCACATGTGATTGTACATACTTGTGAATATACTTACTCACTTGTGATTTATTTAACGCTACATGTAGGTCAATAATCCAAACAACGGTGTTAATAAATTTTTGCAAGACATATCTTGGGGACCTGCACCTACGATTACGATTATGTCCAAGTATTGTGTGAATGGTTACAAATTTCACACCGAGGAATGCTCCAAGTATAAATAAAGCAATAACAATGGGGTGTGTGTCAAAGGTGGTGAAGGCAACAAGGATGGGAAAAATGATTATTATGGTGTGATCAAAGAGATTCTAGAATTGTCATATTCAGGTTGGCCAAATAAGAAGGTCATACTTTTCCGATGCAAGTGGTTAGACCTAACACCTAGAAGAGATACAAATGTACACTCGAAGTACAACATAATTTCGGTTAATAAAAAGAGGGAGTATGATCGCTATGATCCTTTTATAATTGCAGAAAGAGTTAGGCAAGTGTACTATGCTCCATATCCATTGCGGAGGGATAAGGCTGTTTGGTTAGTTGTAATCAAAACAAAGCCTGTTGGCAGGGTGGAAGTTGAGAATGTACTAGATGTTGCTTACTAAAACGATACCTCAAGTGTTAACCAAATGGTAGATGATCAGTTAGAAAATTACTTGGAGCATCCTCAATTCATATTAGAAGAAGTTGATATGGAGGAAATAACAATCATAGAAAATGAGGATGAAGAATCACCTAATGAAAATGAAATAAGTGAAAATGAAGGATTTTCAGACGAGGAAGGATACGTCGACGAAGACGACTAGTATGTTAGTTTTTTTTTTATGGGTAACGACTAGCATTGTTAGTTTTTTCAAGCGTTCTTTACTTATATAGATTTATATTCTCAATTCTAGGATTTTATTTAATTTATGTAGATGGCCGGTAGGGGTCGAGGTAGGTCTAGGAAGGATAAAAGGCCTACGGATCATGATGATGGTGCTACACCCTCACTTCCTTCTACTCCACACTTTCATCCCTCTGCTGCTGATGACTAGCAACAATCTTTTAGGCACAGATCTATTCTACCACATCCATCTACTCATTATACTACCCACCATTCGACTGTCCAACAGTATTATCACAATTCTCCGCCACAGGGCTATACCCCGCTTCCTCTTAATGATCCTACCAATAGTTACATGGGTGCATCGAGTCACCAGTCACAGAGCCATGTGATACGCCCGTCATCTGCTCCATTTGCTTCATCTCTAGCCAGATCGCATCCATCTAGCTTTCAGACGGCCGGATCGCAGCAGTGGTCTGGATCGTAGCAGGGGTCTAGATTTGTGCAGGGATGTGGATCGCAACCATCTTCAAGGACCCCGTCTCCCTCTCCACAGAGTTCGTCTCCTAGCATTTCTAGACTTCGTCTTCGGGATAGTAGCACTGAGGCAGATGCCCTCTCTTCTGCGCATGCTTCAGATTCATCGGAGGATGATGATCCGGATGATGTGCGTTATGATCATTACCATAGGATCATCATCAGGCCTGAGGGCAATGAGTAAGATTTATTTTTTACTTTTTTATTTTTGCTGAATTATAATAGCTACTCTTATTTATTTAATGTAATTGCAATATTGCAGGTTTATTCCTAATAATGAGGTTACAAAGATAATCACTGATATACTTGCCTCGTTGTATTTAACACCCTATCCGACTTGGAGTGACTTTCCTGAGAGTCTCGTGGAACAGATGTTCAACCAATTTAAGGTTTTAATACAATTCTTATCTATTTAAGTGTTATATTAACAATATTTTTATCTAACGTTACTTACTTTATTTGCAGACTAAGTGTTCCTGGGAGGACCAGTATAATCGTGAAATTTGTAAAAATTGGGAGTACAAATGTCGTAAGAGACTCTCTGATTCCTTCAGCACCGCTCGAAGGGTTAAAAAGAAGCCTTCATGGGTTCTACCGCATATATGGGTGGATCTGGAGAAGTATTGGACCACCAACAAATTCAAGAAGCAAAGTGAACAGGGAAAGAAGGCTCGAACATCTGAGAAGGGTGGCTCCTTGCACTGTCTGGGTTTAAGGAGCATGGGAGATACGAGAAGACATCTGGTAATTCCTTAAAATATTTCGGTCTATTTTTATCGAACTATATTTATACATCTCCCAAGACAGAAATAGTAAGCATATGCTTGACCTAGAACTGTTCCATTATTAATATCTCACCATGTGAGTAAGATATATGTACTGAAAGCAAATAGTGAGCAGTTGGCATCAAAATTTACCAAAGATCGTATCATAGATGCCATAAATGTGATTATGAAACTTTGCGGAGCATGTAAAATTTAAAGGAACATAGAATGGTGAAATTTGATGGACATAAACTCCTGGTTATTTTGAAAACTTTTTAGCTACTTTCCACTTGCTTCTGTATTTGACCTTATACTACTATTTTACCCAAATAAGCAATATGTTAGTTTTCTGTAGGCATGTATTAAGTTTGAAAATAAAAACCCTTGATGTTTTGGGTTGTCAACATGCTATTCTCTTTTTGATAAAGTAAATAATTTTATCAATGTGGAAAAACTCCCTAAAATCCAAAATGCTTCTTTAAAAGTTTAATCTGAAAAGTGAAAACTACTGTTATATTCAAATTTCTATTTACAGCTATTTGGTTTTCTTGTTTCCCACATGAAAATCACTAGATATTTAAAGTTAGACAAATTCTAGGACCTTAAAAAATCCATAAGGGTCTGGTTTCTTTAAGTCAAGTTTGGTTTCTTGATTTGACAGACTTGAAATAAGTTGCTAAAAGCAGAGTGCGTCCGAGAAGGTTCGGAAGAATGAGGTTATCGGCTTTATCTGGGATCATGTAATATGCCGATTCAGGATACCGGCAGAGATTGATTGCGATAACGGGGAGTAGTTCATCAGCGGCAAGGTAAGTAAGTTTCTCGAATACCACAAAATTAAAAAGTTTTTTTCAACACCTTACCACCCTAGTGGAAACGGTCAAGTGGAGTCAACAAACAAACTATACTCAAAAACTTGAAGAAGAGATCGACTAATTCGAAGAGAATGAAAAAAAAATTCCCGAGGTGTTGCGGGCATATCAAACGACTTCGAAGTCAAGCACCAGTGTGACCCCATTCTTTTTATTCTATGGCTCAGAAGATCGATCCCAGTCGAAGTAGGGGAACCAATCCTAAGGTTATAGTACACTACCAAAATGTCAAATGACGAGGTCATGGCCACAAGCTTGGACTTATCGGACAAAAGGCGAGAGGCCGCCCTAATCCGGTTAGCGGCCCCAAAAGCAGTGGATGGGAAGATACTACAAATGAATGGCTAACTTTCGACATTTCTAAGTCGAAGACTTGATATTAAGGAAAGTTACGTTCCACACCAAGAACCTAAACGACAGGAAACTAGGCCCGAACCTAGAAAGTCCGTACAAAATTGCCGGTATAACCGGGAAAGGTTCATATAAAGTTGAATCAGGGAATGTTGTACAACACCGAACAACTAGAATGTGGAACACTTAAAGCAGTACTACTGCTAAGGTACGAAATAATTTCCTTTGAAATTTGTTATACTTTGGACTAACTCATGCAAGTATTCGGTCGATGTTAAAATTTTATGATTAGGTTTGAAAGCACGTGTTGCACTCTTTTTTCCTTGGACCAGTTTTTCCTGAAGTGGGTTTTATGGCAAGATTTTTAATGAGGCAACAGTAAAACCTGCTACTTAGTCTTGAAGACCGGCTTGAGGCCGGGATTGTTGACCACCCGTACTGGATTGATAGTATTCGAGCCCTCATGAGCTCAGACCCGAATGCTGGGGGAGCCATTATGCTCTAATCCAAATCCTTATAAGTTATTTTTTATTTGACGTTAAAAGACAAGGCTTGGATTTTAGAATTTATTGTAAAGGTTAAACGGTCAAATGAACCGTGCCTGTGTAGCTCATTCTTGCCATGGTAGAAAGCTTTTGTACCTTCGATCATGTACTCTACATGCAAAGTAATGAAAGAAATTTGCCATCTGAATTTCATTACGACGCATTTGCACCATCGGTATATTCATTAAGTTATTTATAACAAATAATGGGTCGAAAATCCTAGAGCCCACGGGCCTCTGTAAGTCGGGGACTGCCATCCAATAATAAGATTAGAGAGCTTGGGTCATCGAATCCCGAAGGCAACCAGCCTATTAGGCAGGGCCCAAATATGAAAGGTTACGGACAACTTAAAATGGCTCGAAGACATCCAAGTCCATACTTAGAAAGTAAGTCCTTACACATGATTAAAACCTATGAAAAAAGGCCACCCTCTGTAAAACATCATCGTGTCCAGTTGAAACATTCAAGTATTTTGAAGACTTCATTTTTATTTATCAGATATTCCGAAGTCTAAGCAACTTAGAGTTGTTATCGAAACTAGGCCTCATTCGGGGTCTGTGGAACGAAAACTCTAAATTATGTCTAATTTTATATTAAGGCATTAATGACATTTTTTAAACAGACAGTTGCAAGCGGATGCTGAAAAATAAAAGACACAATATAGCCGAAGGAAATTTTTTCTATATATGCCAAACGTATTTAGAAAGGCACAATAAAATAGCCTCAAAATAAACAAAAACAAAATGTACAAAAGAAACAAAAACTAAGGCATCTCCACCTAGTCTTCACCAGAGCCTGATTCACTGCCGGAACCCTCGGACTCTTATATATCATTGGCCTCGGCCTCGAGCCTCTTAGCCTCTTCAATCTCCACCGATAGATCGAACCCCCGAGCGTGAATCTCCTCGAGGGTCTCCTTTCGGGATATCCACTTTATATATTCGGCCCTTGTCATTAAACCAGCTTCGGTTGTCTCCACATCGGGCCAGCATATCCTGGACCTCAGAGGAATCGATTAAAGTTGCCTCCAACTTGGACTTCAATACGGTGTACTCCCGACTGAGGGCATACAGTTCCGAGATAGCCGAGCCTAGTTGTGCTCGGAGCTCGTCATTCAGCCGAGACTGCTTGTCGGCGTTATCCTTCATCACCCTGAGTTGGTCCTTGTCTGATGCCAACTCCTCTTTAGTAGCCTCCTTTTCCAAGGCCAGAAGATCCATCTTGCTCCTCAACGCCTCGGCCGAAGCTTTAAGCTCGTTCATCTCGGCCCGGAGCTGGTCGATCAGGTCTATCTTCTCTTGGACCTGTGAGGTTGAGGCGTTAGCTACTGCTTTTAACCTCTCGTTATTAGTCTCAAATATCCTTATAGTCTCGACCAGTACGACATGCTCCCGTTTCACCGACAATGCCTCCTTTTGAGCTTTTTCCAGCTCCGCTTGAAGATTGGGGAGGTCCTTGAGGACCACGTATCTTTGTTCGCTGAGAGCTTTTTACATGCCTTTCTCCTAGACCTGTTCCTGAGCTTGAACTCGAGCTGGCTCACCTCTATCCGAGATCGATGGAAGATCTTATGATGAAGAACCAAGGCCAGGGAAACAAAATTGATGAGATCGTAAGGATACACTAAGGTTAAAGGAACCATTCAAAGGATACAAAGAAAGAAAAGCATACACGGTTCAGCGCCTGTTGTGCCTCATTGAAGAGGCTCGGTGCACCTACCTCGATCATCTTCTCTTGATCCTCTTCGATCACCAAGTAACGAATATAGCTGGCAACACCAATCAGTCCGGACAACACCCGAGTATCCACTAAAATCATAAACATGACCGTTCTTTTGCAATCGGGATTCACACACTCGGGGCGGGGAACTGCTTCACCAGCTTTAGGCTCTAGCTCGGCCCGCCTAACTCTGGCAACACACCTTTTTTCGGGATCACCAGGTGACCGAACCCGTAGTAGTCCTCCAATACACCAATGTCCATGCCCTCAAATAACAGGTTTGGGGCCTTTTTCCGCGGCCCATGATGTCTCGGTTGGTTTCTCTTCGAAGACTTGAGCCTCATCAAATAGAGACTCCGTGTGAGACGGTAACTCTAGGATGTCAATGACACCGGCAAATTCTCTCGGAGTAGGAGTTGCTTCTCGATAGGTCGTAGCCACTAGCTTGCCTTAGGGCTCCCGAGCTCAAAGAGGGTTCGGCCTCCCGGTTACTTCTCCCCGAAACTGCCCGCTCTTTTTCATCAACGGTCGGCCCATGGGTGACGAACTCCAAGTCATCATCTTCAGGGTGTTCCCTGAGCCAGTAAAGGGATTCGGGGTCCGGTACCCTGACCTAGTTACTCTTCTTGTTGCTCTTCCGGACCCTGACTGCGCCCCTCTTTTTGTTGGCCTCGGTGTTGGCATCCGGGAACCGAAAAACCTCATTTTTCTTCTCTTTTTCTCCTCCTTATTCACAGCGGCCTCAGGTTGTCCTGAAGCGGAGGGTTTACCAGGTGAGCACAGAGCCTCGTGCTAGTCCATTGCCCGGAGCTCAGTGGTCTTGGGAAACCTGTGGAAGAGAGATAGAGAGAATTAGTACGCAAAGAGAACTTGATCGGAGGAGAAAACTCACTATGGGAACGAGCTTCCCACTTGCCCTTTGAGAGTTTGTTCCACTCACGCTCGAAGTACGATAACTATTTGCAGATCCCTCGACCCACTATTTGAAGCGGGGAAATATGTTGGGGAATCGGGTAACCACTGCACGATGGAAGAACCAGGTGATGAGAAAGAAGAACAAAATGCAAAAATAATTCTAAGTACTCAAAAAAAGAGAGGAACTTATAGGCTAGGTTCCACTTTTCAGGGAACAACAGGAACTCGGGGAAAATGAGATCCTCGGTCTTCACTCGAACAAATCTCCCCTGCCAACCTTGATCCCTATTTTCGCCATTGCTCGAGAATGGAGATTCTTTTGCCCGATAGACAAGCTCGATTAATCTCCCTTAGAAAATTCGAGGACTGTAGAGGTAAAACAGGCGGTCGATGGTAAACCGAGGCTCCTCCGTGCTATTGATGAAGTGACGGAGGAGGATCACGATCCTCCAAAATGACGGGTGGATCTGCCCGAGGTAGACCTCATTCCTCTTACAGAAGTCGATGACTATTGTATCCACTGGGCAAAGAGTGAAGGGGTATGTATAAACACTTTAATACCCCTCTACATATGTGGTGATGTCCTCATCTGGGCTAGGGACGACCACTTCCTTGCCCTCCTACTTGCATTCCTCCCGAACCGTCTGGTGCGTGTCCTCGGCGATGGAGCATATGTACCTCCACACCTCCTCAACTTGGTCCCTCGCTTTGAAGCTTTTTCGACTTTAAAGTCGTTCTCTATAGAGCATCCTCTGGGGATGAAATTCTTTAGAGGAGGTTCCGGGGCCACTTCAGGTACGACCACCTCGACATCCGTGGATGGGTTAGAAGTTGAAGGGGCGTCCTATTAAGACACATACTTCAAAGTTTTCGCCATCGA